TCTCCTTACCTGTCGACAGATCGTCGTTGGAATCGGTGTGCAACGCTTCGATAATCAGCGAAAAAGTTCCCTGAAACATAAAAAGGGACGTGTTAATATGAATTAAATCGACAAGCAGACGCGCATTCCTCCACACCTCCCCGCTGTTTTACATATAACGGGAGATGTGAGTGGCTTGAGGTGTGATCGCACTGGGGATCCAAGCCTCATTTCTCCGATTTCACACTTACTTATTGCAGTAAAATGAAAGGTTTCGGAATTTCACACTGAGCTGACAATTATATTCCAACCCAAGGGATGTGACTTCTCCCACCCCACCAACACCACTAAAACATCTAAATACCCACATCCTGCGCCCTTATGAGTCATTATTGTGGGTTTTTATATGTTAAACATGCTATAAACCACGGTAAAACCTACACATGCATCCAAATATAAAGTATAATGTATAAAAGTAAAACACTAACTACTCACCGGCCATGTGAATCCAAATGAGAACTGAATGGGGTTGGTGAACGAGCTGTCAGGATAGCTCTCGGGAACTTGGAAGGAGTTTGATCCGAGCACTGGTGTAACTGCGCCACCGTAGGTGCATGGAGGATCTGGAGATACATTGGCTTGGTAGTGTTTCAGGCAAATCCTAAAAAAGGTTCTGCAGTCACACTGCTGAGCCTCTGACGCGGATCCTTTACAGCAGTTTGCGTTGCCTGTCACCCCTTTCTTGTTCAGAAACTCCTGCAACTTTAACTCGAAAACCCCAGAACAAAACCCCTGGAAAGAAATTGAAATGGGATTAATTACTAAACGTTGCCAACATAAGGCAGACATCTATTGTGAGATCATTTCTCACATACATTAAAACAGACGCTGACTTTAATTACCTGGCTTATCATGACACAAAGCAAAGCAGCTATCATAAGTCGTCCCATGGTGGAGAGGATCTGAATTATGTTGTTAAGCTTCCACGGGCCAGGCAATTGTATGAGACCGTGTCTCAATAAATCATTGAGACTCGAAGTTCTCCACTCAATGGGAGGCAGCTCTGGTATCTGATGCTCTGTTGTTTTTACTTTATCTGCTCGTGCAAGCCCATCAAAGACAAAAAAAATCAAGCAATTAAATCCCAAATACGAATATAAAGAGGAAACCCCGATGCGCAAAAGGGGGACGAACAGGAAATTCCCTCAGAAGACGATTACTCCAAGTTGTCAAAAGTTTGCGGTCCACTTGCGGATTGTTTATGAAGCCGGAAAAAATGCAGAAAACCCAGGCGCACGGTTATCTACGCGTGTATCGCTTATTTTCCGATTTATACAAATGGCGTGGAGTTGATCCAAACTACTGATCCCAACTTTCCTCCCGTACTCTTGTTTCCATGTGAGAGAGACTGCCTGGATTGTGCGTGTTTAATGTCCCAGTCCTCCTGCAGCCGGTTATATACAGGCAGCGCCTGCTAGGGTAATGAGATGCAAATGAGCTACTCCCCAATCTGGCTCTGGTTGTCACAAAGGGACACTTTTCAATCTACACCACCCCCAACCCTCCAAGAAAGAAAAAAATCGGCAAATGGTCACTGAGCTGTAAAATGTGCAACTCTTTGCCACTGGGAGTGAATGGAGAGAGAGAGAGAAAAATCTAATTTACATACAGGAAAATAAGCAACCTCGAGAATCCTGTACATCCCACTCTGACATGAAACCACAAATTGCATCACACATTGCAGGAATGTCGCGTTCCTGATAACGGGACAAAAGTACAGTATTTTTCTCCCTGGGCTTTTCAGTGCAGCATGACTACACAATGAAACCTGGATTTGTCTGTTGTCATATGGTCATTAAAACGTGCAGCTTACATCTGAGGGGTTTTGGGGAGCTAACTTTTTTTCTGTTTTTGGATTAATTTATTTTGACTAAATTAGTTGTTAAAAGTCATTGTATATATAATGTTTACACAGACATATTTGCGCTTTTAAAATGTTTGTTACTGTAAATGCTAATAATAAAAATAGGAGACCACATGACATGTTGTAAACATGAAGTAAATAACAAGAAGCAAAATGGAATAACAAACAATCATTCTTTTCATTCACTGTTTTAGTTAACTGCCTCGTGATTATGTGTGTGTGTGTGCGTGCGTGCGTGCGTGCGTGTGTGTGTGTGTGTATATGTATATATATATATATATATTCCTAAAGTAAATAAATAAGATCTACTACTAAAACATTTTAGAATATTTTACAGTAAAATTATATTCAGTCTTTAAAAATAATATAAATAAATATAAGTAATAAAATATTTCCAATTTTGGTAAGGTAAATTGCAGTTAACCGATTTTACTGTTACTTCCACGGAATGTTCACTAACAATTTTATAAGTGTGAACTAAGTCGAAGTAGGCAAAAAATGCTGACGCCTCACATAATTAGGTCATGTAAAGCGAACATGCATATCCTTATGAACCTTCTTTGGGTTTTTAAAACACTTAATTTCAGTGGTTTGAGTTTTGGTGACTCTGTAAATTCTCTAAGCTGGATTGTAAACGCTGAACTGGTGTGTGTCGTTCGCGTGGCTGTCATTAAGGCACTTTGTTATTGTGTGAGGTTCTTTCATATTGTTAAATGAATCCAGCTCTCGCTCTTTTCGCTCTGTCTCGCGAGCGTTTGTTTGTGTGGATGTGCGAGGGTGGTCTTCATTAGTGCGTTAATTAAAAGCGCTCCAGAGGAATGCGACAATCGTGCATCAGTGACACAGTTACGCGCGATCGGTTTTGGCACTTGATGAAAATTGTTTAGAAAGTAATTCACTCCTAGTTTAAGTATACATAAATACTTTTTTTTATCGAATGCGTTTCCTGAACAAAACATGGACTTGCAATGCGACAGGTGTCATAGCAACACACTCCGGAGTTAGTTATTGAACCGCTGGCCATAAATAAGAGCGGAACCGTGTCACACAGCTATCATCACACTTTCACCCATAGTTCTTTGACCTGACGTTGCACACATTTCCCGATTACCCGAGCAAAGCATCACTGAAAAGCATGTTGAAAACCCTCAGATTTATGCCCACTTCGCTTATTCTTTTCACGCATAATTTATGCCACGCGATTCTGTCCTGGTTAAATCAAGCAGAAAGCTCCTTTCTCGCATTCCTCCTCTTTTCTGAAGGTGGACTATGGGGAGACTGTTTAACTTAAGTGTTTCTATAGGGGGCTGTTGTACTTTAACTCCTGCCCACCAGTAGCTGCGACGAACAAAGCCGGGACTCGAGGTCTGACTCTTCATCTTTCTTTGCGCTTTAATTTTCATTGATTTTGAATACAAGGGGAGCCCTCGGGGACTCTCTCTGAAGACGCGGACAGCCCCCCAAGCCAACCATCTGCTCCCAACCAAATGGCGTTTTTTCACATCGCAACTGCATGTCTCTACTGCCTCTCCAGGCAGCGCGCAGCCGCGCAAACGCAGGCTTCTCCAAATGAGACTGGAAGCATGGAGCGCATGAATGCCGCTGCTGGGCCATATGGTTAGGGAAGCTGCAGTAAGTGGCCGTGGGAATACGGGCAGTAACGATCGCAGTAACGGCTTGTGGGAGAGTGTCTGCCAATCGATCGATCAAATTAAGTAGAGCGCGAATGTTTCTCAATGAGATTTTTTTCCCCCTGAACGCGCATTCCTATGCCTACGCAACAGGAGACGCGGAGGCGATGAAAGTGTTATGGCAACATGCATGTGAATACTTATTTTGTGTTCAGGAAAAGGACAATACAGCATAGTAAGAGTAGGTTCCCCATCATGACGCAGCAAGCACTTGCACTGATTAAAATAACAATGGATGTGTCGCGTGGCTCGGGTGGCGCACTCAGTATGAAAAAAAGCAACAACAAGCAAGAAGAAACATTCAAACGTACAGCGAAATAGATGCATCCAGTCTAGGAAGTTACTTAAGTTTAATCAAATCTAGTTTGCCATTGACTATATTGGTGTACGCGAGCTATTTTCCTGATTAACAGCCCTGATAGAGTTCTGAGTATAAGCTACTAGTGCGTGCGTGCGTTTGTGTGCATGAGGGAAAGAGAGAGAGAGAGAGAGAGAGAGAGAGAGAGAGAGCAGGAGGGGTGAGTGAATTCTTCAACAGGCTTGAGGACTGTCGCGTGCCATCGTCCTTTATGGAACATCTGCCCCTTTCCCTGGGGTGGTTTTGTTTATGTGAGAAACTTTGGTTCAAAGAGGAAGAAAAATCAATAACTGACCCATGTGGCTTATGTAGGCTACATTGAAATACCGTTATTTATTTATTTATTATATTTATTTATTAATAATACTTTTTTATATTTTATTATTTATAATTTATTTTTATATATATTATATTTTTATTATATTTATTATATTTATTTGCATTGTTATTTATATTATGCAGGTATGATTCATAGCATAAATAATTTAAATATGGAGGAAAACAATCTAAACTTAAATGCATAGTTTTTATCACAGCTAATTTTACAAAAAAATAAACAAAAATAACAATAATAATAATCCCATATCAGACTGTGAAATTGTACAAACAGGGATTGACCTACTGTGCTAAAATACCTGCAGCCTTATAAGTTTTAAATCCTTATTCTGAATTGAATTCTAATAAATTAATTCTAATTCTAATAAATATTCTGTAAGACTATGCTATGTTGGTGTTATATCATTGCAGCCTACAACATACGGGTAGCGATACAGTGCACAATAATAAACCATTACATAATAAACTAATAAGCAGAGTAACATAAAACTTCATGACTATATTTCTTTATTTACTAACACAGTTCTCATATTTAAATGCATTTCTTCTAACTGAAATTTTTTTTTTTTTTTTTTACAGATTTGTTATCGAGCAGAGTATTTAATAAAACATAAATTATTTCTAATATATGTTTCAGCTGTGGTCTTCTTTTTAATTTACAATCATTATAAAGGAATACGCTGATTGGCCGCTGAGATCCTCACGCCGGAACAGGAAGTGAGCGCAACTTTGTAAACATCAGCGGTTTCGGCTATTGTAGCAGCCGTGCTGCTTTGAGCGAGAGAGCGCTTAAACGCTCACTAACTCGAGTATTCTAGTTAAACTATGCGTGACATCCCACCCATCAAGTAGTGAGTCGGTTTTTGCTTCTTTAGCAGCACTGGGTTTAATAAGTGTGACATTAAGTGATAAAGGACTGTAGTGTTCCATATCTTTACTGACAGCGTCGCAGCAGCAGCAGTCAAATTCTCAGCATTCACACACACAAGTGATCAAAGTGAAGGGTTTTTTGAACATGTTCATTCATATTACTTTAATTATGCTAATGAGTGAGAAAAAATACATGTACAAGATGATTATTTGATAACTATTTACAGCTTAAACACTTTGCATTTTAAGTTTGGGGACATGGGACATAACAGTAATATAAAATGTATTTATATATTGGCAAATCTAGCATTACCTTAAATGTATGAATGATTTGAGATTACAGGATGGTTTCAGGATGGATTCTGATTTTAATATGGTATAAATTGTCTGGTCAGACCAAAAAAAAAAGTGTTGATAAATTAAGCATATCGTAAATGACCTTATTAAAATGATTTAAAAACCGTGTAAAACTAAAGTAAAAATGTTATGATGACTTGACAGTGTGAAGTAAACCATACATTTAATACATTTACTTTAGATGAAAATTTACCATATGAAGTCTTTTTATCTGAGAAACTGATTTACGCTTAAAACAAGAACACATACCTGTCACTGTAGTATGAAAATTACTTTTCTGTGTAAGTAATTATTATTGAACTATTCAAGCCTCAAGTTTAGTGACCGTACTGATTTATTGCTTAAAATTCCTTACTTCTTCTTAAAAGGGTCTTTAAAAAGTCTTACATTTACCTTCATAAAACCTTCAGAAACCCTGAGTAAAAGTAGCGACACAGCTGTGAAACCCGTTTTCTGCAGGGAGGTAGTGATAATGTAGTAATGTTTCTTTAAAAATTAAATTACATATTTTCTAAAGTTTTATATTTCTAAAGTTTGATGTATATTTTAATTTATATACATTATTGACTTGACAGGTGCATTGAGATTTTAGAATGCCATAATTTTGATATAGAGAAAATGGTGAATTTCCATTCATGCATGCACTTTTATGTTTGATTTTAGGTGCATGAACTTGCAGATGAGTTTTCACACAGCTGAAGATGGGTGTGAAGGGCTTACAGTACTTTATGGAGGCATGTTGCCCAGACACTTGTGTGCCAGTGGACCTGAAACAGATGGCAGCCGATCATGTCAAAGCCCATCCGGACAGTACCGCCACAGTAGTAGTGGACGGAATGGCCTGTTTAAGATACTGGTATCGCTGTCAAGCCTGGGTCCATGGTGGTCAGTGGCAAGAGTATATGCATATCCTTCAAGAATTCCTGGATGCGTTCACGGCTGCAGACATACGTTTAGTCTTTTTCTTCGACGGAACGGTCGAGGAACAAAAGCGGGCAGAGTGGGTGAAGAGGCGGCTGAGAGTCAACCAAGACATCGCGAGAATATTTCAGCACATTAAGACTCACGGTCAGCAGCCGAACAGCAGAGACCTTTTCTGCCTTCCCTCCGGACTCGCAACCTTCTCCAGATTTGCCCTCAAAAGCCTCGGCCAGGAATCACGGTGCTCTGTCCGCGAAGGAGATTATGAGATTTCCGACTACGCTTTGTCTCACAACTGCATGGGCATCCTTGGTCAAGATACAGACTTTGTTATCTACAACACCGTTCCATACCTGTCCATCAATAAACTCAATTTAAACAACATGACAACAGTGCTGTTCTCCAGAGAGCGGTTATGCCATGTTTTGAAGCTTCATATGACTGACCTCCCTCTCTTGGCCTGTCTGTTGGGCAATGACGTCGTGCCTGAGCAGCAAATGGAGCGTCTCCGCAACAGTGCTTTGGCGTCATACCGAATGAAACACAAGCAAGTTCAGGGAGACAAGGTCTATGCTGTTGCAGACTTCATTAGCGTGCATCATCCCAGCAGTGAGGGAACATCTGGAGTTTCCTCCCTTTCATTAGTTGAAGCAGAGAAAGAAGCTTTAGAAAAAGGCATACGCTTGTATTTACTTACAGGACAAATGTCCCCTTGGTTAGAAAGCAGCCGTGCCTTTCCTGAGTCTGTGTGTTTGATGGGCAATTATGTACCTGGTGACATATTACAGGTAAAAAGGAAAAATGCACAGTGGGGTCCAAACGTTTGAGGACACATTTAAAAATATGGGATTTAAAATACACCATATGGTATTTTTATGGTATGTTAACATTTAGAAGTTTGCTGATAATGTAATTTGGTTACACTTTATTTCGATAGTCCACTTTAGACATTCTATTAACTGTCTTTTAAAAAATAGTAATAAAATGAGAGAAAATGCAAAAAGGAAACATTTTCACTCAGATTTTGGACACCACTGTATTTAACAAAAGCATCATACCCACCAGAAGTAACATGTCTTTGTTTGTACTCCTACTAAGTGTTTCCATGTTTCAGGCAGCGATGGAAAAGCACACACAGGCAGAGTGTTTCCTGGTCTATAATGTGTTACATGATGGGGTCGTGGAGTGCAGTAACACGTTGGAAGATGAGGATGAGGTGGAGTTACCCCCGCAGGCCGTCTTATATCTTCCTGTCCGAGAACGCATCTACGGCCTTTTACTGCCAGTGCAGCCAGGTGTGTTTCGTTTCTGTATTTACTTAGAATTTATGGAAAAAATAATGTTTTATGATGCATTTCTATTATGTTGTAACTTGTTTGCAACTGATGCAACTTGTTTGCATTACAATCTAATGTCGATTTCTCCAGTATAAATAAAGTAGTTTGCAAAAAAGCATTAGAAATATTTCCCAGCAGTGTTTGCTGTTGTTAAATAAACTCATTAATTCAAATAAAGATGAGATAAAATATAAATATTAGATAAAAGTTTTTCATGGAAATTAGAAATCCTGCTTTGGCATCTAACTGAAATATAATATGTTTAAGTTGAAATACTAAAATTACTTAAACTGAATAAAAAGACAATTAAAAAAAAAAGACACGATTTAAAAAAACTTAAAGTAAACTTAAAATGAAAAAATAAGACTGGTTCCCGCGGTCATGGAAAAATCTAAGGGAATATTTTAAAACTTTTTTCTGAGCTTGACATAATTAGTAAAATCTTTAGAAGTCATGGAAATTTCCATGTTCATTAAAAGTTGTTCTAATTACGTTTGACTACTACATTTTTCATTGGCTAGAAACTGCTTAAAATGTTTACATTTTTTATAATTATGCATTGGTCAAAAGATGTAGTTAAGTGAAGTGTGATGTATTGCTGTCAAGTGAATTTTTTGAAGAAATCTAGACTGCGAGATTGAAGTTTTCATAAAGTGATCTTTGGATAAAATTATTATTATTTTAATTTAAATATCATTTGTATATTTCCTTAACGTAGGCATTCTGTTGCGGTATAGAAATATAGGCTGTCCTCTTACTGTGCTGTTAACAGAAAATAAATCTCCATTGCTCTGTAGTATTCTGGGAATTGTCTTGTTTCTGTCCAATATTTGTGGTGTGGGCAAATATGTGGTGAACGTGCTGTTGAAAAGAAGGGCCAGACCGAAGAGGACAAAACATATCAGATTTCAAACAGTCGAGACTACACTGTAATTTTGGAAAGGCTGTGTCAGTCAAATTATTTCATAGCATACAAGCCTATTGCACAAATGCCCTTTCTGTGCTGCTTTTAAGGGATTGTTTTGCATTGTTACTCTCAATTTATATTAACTTCTCTCTCTTTTATAGATTGTTCTGGTCACACTGTGTCAGTCAAAGAATGGTTCGTCTTTCCAGGAAATCCACTTAAGGAGCCAAACAGAGTCACTCCAAAACCCCTCAACCATCTAAGTATATAATTCAGTAGTTATGTTCTACATATTTGATCGTCGTTAGGAAGTACCTCACTTGGAGTTTCTCATGTGCTAAGCATTACACACTACCTCATTTGATGCTTCTAAAGGCTGGAATACACTACACAACTTTTACCCTGATTTGCAGAGTTTTTGAGCAGTTTGTGGCCAGTCAGAGTTGACATATTTCACAGAAAATCATGTAGTATTTGAAGGGCACAGACTATGACTTTTTTAGCTTCATATAATGATTCCATCCAGATGGAAGATATCAGACATATTTGATATTTTGAGCTGTTTTTAAAACACATATTGTTTTGATTTGTCATGTGTCTCCTAACAACAAGGCATTAGTTTCTGCATTAGTTTATTGTGTTCGGAACAACTTGAAAGTCTAGTCCTCAGTCATTTACTGTATGATGCCCAGATTTTCCTCTATAACCTCTAAATTTGTATAATGTATCGCAGCCTTACGTAATCCTGTGATAATCTCAAGAAATCTATGTTCTGTTTTTAAGTGTACATAATTCTCTTTGCTCTTTTGCATTTCCTCGTATCAGTGATTACATGACACAGATGCTTAGTGATAAAAAGAAAAAGGCCATTTGGTTTGATCACTGCATTTTGCTGCATTGCAAATTTCATCACTGCATTACCGAGCATCCAACATGAGAATATTAGGGAATTTTGAAATATATTTCTGAGCTTGCAAAAGACGGAGAAATGAATATATAGTTACATTTGTGAGTGCAGTCTCCATACACGATTTTTAAAAAACATTATTCAGTAACCACAAATGATTGTAAAAAAAACTATTTTGCCAAAATAAATGGGAAGCCTTTTATTAGAACTTTTCAGTTATCTAATCTTTAAAGGGAGAGTTCACCAAAAAAATGAAAATTCACCGTTAATTTACTCACCCTCGGGCCGTTGAGGAGTAGGTGACTTTTTTTTTCTTGAGTAGAACAGTAAGGAAGATTTTTAGCTGAAACCGTGGTCCTTGGTGATTCATAAAATGCAAGACAGCGGCTGCCTGTCTTTGAGAATAAAAATAAAAAAGCATATCAGGGAACACAAAATTAATACCCGTGGCTCCTGACGATACATTGATGTCTTAAGATGTGAAACGATCATTCTGTGCAAAAAAACTGAACATTATGACCTGTAATCCAGAGCCTCAGACAATCAGGGAAGTCCGATTCTTCTCCACGAATCGGTTCTTTCGGACAGTTTGTTTCAATGTACTCTTTCAATTCACTAGTTTGTTTATGTAATGAAATACATAAACAAAACCATAAAAACGTTAATTTCACCCTTCATTCAAGTGCATTCAAGTGGTTGAACTAGTTCACCAAAACGAACCGGTTCAAAAAAATGATTCGTTCGTGAACCGCACATCACTCTAGACGGTTTGCCTGAGGCTCTGGATTACAGGTAATAATGTTGTAAATGATGTTCAGTTTCTTGCACAGACCGATCGTTTCGTTTCGCAAAGACCTCAGTATATCGTCAGGAGCCACGGGTATTAAAGGGTTAGTTCACCCAAAAATGAAAATTAGCCTGTGTTTTACTCGCCCTCAAAGCATCCTAGGTGTATGTGACTTTCTTCTTTCAGACGAATCCAATCGGAGTTATATTAAAAATTGTCCTGGCCCCTCTCCTTTCAATGGGGGTAAGCGGGTGTTGGTTGTCAACAGTTCAGAAGACGTGAAATAAAGTGCGCACATCCGTAATAAAACGTGCCTCACACGGCTCCGGGGGTGTGTGAATAAAGGCCTCCTGTAGCGAATCCATGCGTTTTTGTAAGATAAATATCCATATTTCAAACGTAATAAACACTTTTTTCTCACTTCCGCTGACTGTCATACGCGGAAGCCGTTCTGTTGCGTGATTAGTGACGAACGTGGAGACAAAACAAAACGCCGTTCACGAATTAGAAGCACAAAACGAGGATTTGTAAAGAAAAATGTCGGAGGATTTCGATATAAGCCAAGAGGAGACTGGTTTTCCTTTTCTAAAATAAGGAAACTTTGCTTCCTTTGCTCCTGCATTTCTCAGAGGCTCGCGCACGACACATACGTCTTACATCATCCGCCTGAACGTCTTCCGCGTACCACAGTCAGCGGAAGTGAGAAAAAAGTGTTTATTACGTTTGAAATATGGATATTTATCTTATAAAAATGCATGGATTCACTACAGGAAGCCTTTATTCACAACCCCCCCAACGGATGTGCGCACTTTATTTCATGTCTTCTGAACTGTTGACAACCAACACCCGCTTACCCCCATTGAAAGGCTTAGAGGGGCCAGGACAATTTTTAATATAACTCCGATTGGATTCGTCTGAAAGAAGAAAGTCACATACACCTAAGATGCTTGGAGGGTGAGTAAAACACAGGCCAATTTTCATTTTTGGGTGAACTAACCCTTTAATTTTGTGTTTCTTGATATGCTTTTTTTATTTAAAAAAACCAGTAGCTGCTGACTTGCATTTTATAAATCACCAAGGACCACGGTTTCAGCTAAAAATCTTCTTTACTGCTCTACTGAAGAAAAAGTCATCTACATCTTGGATGGCCTGAGGGTGAGTAAATTAACAGCAAATTTTCATTTTTGGGTGAACCATCCCTTTAATTCACTCTCATACACGCCAACCCCCACAAGTTAAACTTGTGGTTTTCATTAATCAACAGAAGGGCCCCCTGATCTGATGGCTCTGTGGTTTAGGACGGACCCAGAAGTGAAAGCAGTCCAAGCATCAACACTCCTGGATGTTTTTGAGCTGTATGAGTTTTCTGAAGAGCTGAAGCACTTTGACAGCCCTTTGATTGCTGTGATTTGTCTTGTAACCTACATCACCATTCAGGTGTGTTTAACTTTTCATCATTGATGCCACAGACCACTGAGGTTTTCGCTTGAATGTAAACAAATGGCTTTGTTCAGGTCCATTCACACCACGTATGCTCTGTTAGCCTTTATTTATTAATGATGTGGCCTCATTGCATTTCAAAAGAGTTTCAGCTGTGTCTCTTCAACGCTGTTTATTGTGTGTAGTCCTTATCAGACAACTCCGATACCCTTGCATTGTATACAGATGTGTGTGTGTTGACACTTGATGCTTGTTGTGTATACTTGAGTGTGATTTTCACAGCTTGCATGTAGAATAAAAACACTGTTTGTTCCTGGATCTAGGCGAGACAGCTTTCCCTGGAAGACGTAGATGCATATCTAAGCCAAGCTGTTTGTGTCAGATTCAAATCCTTCAGAGAAATGCAACAGCTCAGGGTGAGTCTTTCGCGCCGCCTCTGCCTTTCTGAAAGCATTGTTTTTACACTCATATGCTCACCCATTTTAACTGGGCTTGGTTTGGAGTCTTTTAGAAAACAACTGTGGTCATGTGTGTTCTTTTGTAACATACCTAAAAAAGACAGTCCGTTTTTGCAGTTGGTTCGATTACTAGGTCCAAACCTGAGTTTGACTCCACCCACTTTTTTGTGCACTCACTTGTTTCCATTTACATTACGTTTATTCGTTTAGCAGTCGCTTTTGTCCAAAGTGCCTTAGAAATGAGGAATTCAAGACAAAGTGACTCCTAAAGGCAGGGTAGGTGATTTGGTTCAAAAACATTTTGTGTTATGCTGGTTGAAAGCCTCTTCACATCCATGAATAAAAGATGAAAAAATAATACAAAAATAAATCATAAGTATGTTCGTCATATAAAATGATCATATCTCTTCAAAAGGTCATTATGACTCTTTTTGGATCTTCTAAGATTTAATGGAATAGACTTTCAGTCTACGAACAAAAACTCCTCAGGTTTCATAAAAAATATCTTCAGTTGTATATTGAAGAATAACCAAAGTCTTATGGGTTTGGGACAACTTGATGGTGAGTAAATGATGACACAACATTTTCATGTTTGAGTAAACTATCCATTTAAAATAGCTACATTAGATGATAAACACTGTAATCCATGTCAAATCAGCACAACAACATGGAAATGCAACAGATCGAGGCCTTTTACTTGAGAGATGCATCAGATTCTTTTGCTATTTGGAAAAAAAATGGGGAAAGAGACTGGAGGGATAATTTCTGGTTGCTTTGCGACATTCCTCTCAAATACTACTCTAATTGTGGTCTGAACCTGAGAGCGATGCTCTGGTGACGGGCTCCGCGTCGTCCCCGCCGGCAACCACAGGGCTATTTCAGCTCCCACCCTAATTTAAGCCTCCTATGCGTGCTATTTCAGACACGGCTGCCAAGGGCGGCTTGTGGTTTCGCAGTGCTTGGATTGAGAGCCCTCCCCACAGCACAGATAATGGATGATAGAGGGACAAATTAGAGCCTCTTGGGAGATATCCAGCAAGCCACCTCCTAATTTACAGATCCTCCTGTGTCTACGGCCGTCCTTTTTGCGTCTGGTGTGAATCCCTCCAGTCTGTTGTATTCAGATGCTGATGCATATCTCATCCTTGACTTGTGAAACGCCAAGCTGTTGACAATACAAATGAACTATTAAGTTGTATTTATATTTTTACAGATGATATGTTTATTTACTTTTACTAATGTGGTTCAAGCAGATAATTTCAATCACCCAGACAATGACTTACTCTGTATCCTTTATGCTTTGTAATGAATGTTTATTGTGCACTTGGCCAGAGTATTTATTTATATATGATCCCACGTGTTTACGTTTTGGCTCAAGTGAAGTGATATGCCTGAGTTTATGTTGCCCACAGTATGTGATAGCGTTGAGGGATTGTGTGTTTAGAGGGCGCGCACAGCAACAGGTGTCGGGTTGCTTGCTGACCCAGAGGCGTGTGTGTGCTCAAGGCGTGGCGGCGACAGCCTGCCGCTGGCCAGATGAAAGTGTGTAAAGCTCTCCTGCCTCCCATGTGCCATGGGGTGACAGGAGCACCTGTTACACGCGCCATTGTTGTCTCCCATCGGGAGTTACACTGTCACATCTGCCTGAAATGTGAAAAGGGATGAGGTGGGGGGTATTAGGAGGCTGTAAGAGCCAGACAGATGGCAGGAGAGTCTCCAGGGGCTGCCTGATTACCCCCCTCTAATCTGTTTCCCCCTGTGTTGCTTTGTCATAGTAAGGGAATGTAAATGCAAGCTAAGGATGCCACTACGCAGCATCTGTAAAGGATGAATTTAACGATTCTGATTCCACTTTATTATTCCAGTTCAAACATTCGAACATTCTTTTAGTAATTTTGAGGAACAACCCAACTCGTATATATTTAAATAAAATTTTTGTTTGAAAGAAATTATGCTTTTAAGTCACCAAGAACGTATTGAATTGATCAAAATACAAGTTACAAGAGAATTTAATTCAAATAATTGCTGTTGTTTTGGATTTTCTATTCATCAAAGAATCCTGACAAAAATGTATGATTGATTCCATAAAAACAGTAAGCAGCATTTAACTGTTTTCAACATTTATAATAAGAAGAAATGTTTCTTGAGTAGCAAAACAATAATGCCTGAAGACTGGAGTAACGATGCTGAAAATTCGGCTTTGCCGTCAGGAATAATTTAAATTACATTTGAACATATATTAAAACAGACAACAGTTATTTTTAATTTCGATAATATTACAGCTTTTACTGTATTTTTGATTAAATAAATACAGCCTTGTTGAGACTTTTTTTTAAAACATGAGAAAATCAACCCCAAACTTTTAAAAGGTAGTGCGTATATATAGATATTTATTATTATTATTATTATTATTATTATTTATATAGATAATTTATTACAACAGCAGTACTGAGTGAGGGAGTCATAGACCAACTCAAACTTGTAATGTATGGATTTGAGACTGATTTGTGAGAACCAGTTCTGTTCAGAGCCAGATCCGTTTTTATTTTTCAAAAACACTGAAGGCAAATAATTTATGGCATTCAGTTCCATTATTGGTTCCTTACCACAAACACACAGTGCGACTCACACAGTTGTCTGACTTAGGAGTCGGTTCTTTTTATTGAGTTAAAAAGATGCACAAATGCACTGTTTTGAGCAGTTCTGAACAAGTCCCTCATACATTGAATTAGAATCAGAGCAAGAATCATTAAATTCCATACAATTACAAAACCATAACTAAAACAAATCTTTTGCATTGTGCTTTAGATTCAGCAACAGTGCATGAATCACTAGTACAAGCATTTCAATACAGTGACCGTTTGCATTGGTGGATGAATGCAGCCATTCAGTATCCATTAACAGAACCAAATCATTCAATTCCAGTATTGAAAAACAGAATGTGTTCTTGGTTCCCAACCCTTTAACTGCAGAAGACTGGTTTCAGACACAGCCCACAATGTTTATTTAGTAAATCAAAAATTGAAAGTTCATTGAAATACCACACAAGCCTAGTCTTGTCATGCGTGAATGTTTACAGTAGTAACATTGAGCAGATGTGCATTAAGGTATGGCACAGGTGCAGAGTCTGAACACAAGGCTGTAGTTTGCCATTAATGTTGAGCTACGTGTCCTCAGGGGGTCCAGCGGTCCTTCAGGCATCTGGCTGGAGCAGCTCTCATTGTTCACTGTTGAAATGCTTGCAGAGCAGCTGCTGTTCTGGTTTGTTGTCCCACTCTATACCTTTACAGCAGCAGGGTGGCATCAGCATTGTCCCGAGGCCTATTGACTTCCACGCTGAGCAATTAGCGGCTTTAAAGGTGCTAAGGCTTTTACGTGTCTTTTAAAGTGGTTTAATCAAAGCCGGTCTACTTCATCCCGCTTTCTAAACCTTATGCATAAAAGTGAATGTGATTAAATGCTCTTGTTTCTCTGAAGAGGCATGGTTTTAAGGAGGAAGTCAGGCCTGTGTAAACAGCATAATATTTCAAGTGATGGCCCAGCTCTCAATCTGTGCGCCTGGAAGGCGCGGGCTCTGGGTTGCTGCTGTTACTTCGGCTTTATCTCCAGCCTCCCTTTTGTTTGCTTTAGTCTAAGCTGTGTTTGAGAGCAGAGCAGGTGGCAGGCCAATTTTACGTTTTGATGTCACAGAAGCTAATCAGACCGTCTCTTATCTCCTGTGGGTGGGGGTGAGGGACCAGGTGACCAGCGGGCAGTTTTGTGGGGGGGAGTGGGGGACCCTTTGTAAACATCCGCTTAGCCGCACGGCCACTTCAGGTGAGCTCTACAGGGTCCACACCCTGCCTTCCTGCAGCCTGAGTTGAAAAACACAATAGGTGTTAAAGGCACAATATGTAAGATTTTTTAATTAAAATATCCAAACACCACTAGAACAGTGTTATATTTGGTTGACTTGTCTACTTACATTATCCTAAATGTTTTGAAGAATGTTTAAATCCAGAGAAATAAGCAAAACACGGACCGTGTCCATAGTGTCATTGTGTCGCCTGCCAATGACGTCATAACCCCTCGATTTCCGAGTTTTGTAGAAAACATGGAAACAACAAAGACGCTTTACTATTTTGTGCGTTTTAATAGACCGGTGACGACCGCACAGAGTAGCATTATAACAGAACTTTCAAACGTTTCTAGTATGATTAAACAGCGCTGCTTTACCCCACATACGCATGACCGGAAGCAGCGGAAGCGCTAAAGTGTGGCATAATAAAAGCTCCGCTGCTTTCGAGCCGTGTGTCACGCTCGTTCAGCGGCCTCGTTTCGCTTCGACGGCTTTCATCCACACCCTGCTTCATTCTACAACGTTAATAAATCATTAGCTCATCCATGAACATGATTTCTGCCCGAGTCCCGTCGGATTGCATCGGCTGTGGGGATGAAGATGACAACTCCCATGACTCCACACTCAGTCACGGCGTCATCAAACTACGCCTTTGCCTCTTTGTTTATTTTGAATAAGTGCCCTCTAGCGGCGAAAAATTACATATTGTGGCTTTTAATGGTATGATGAATTTAAAACCCTACTTTTTAAAAAATCTGTGGTTTAAAGTAACAGTTTGATCACAAATAAACATTCTGTAATCATTAACTTGTGTCATTTCCAACCTGTATGACTTACTTTCATCAATAAAACACAAAAGGAGAAGCTTAGGAGAATGTCCCAGCTGCTCTTTTCCATAAAAAAACAGGAATGTCTGGCGAACACTGCCAAAAAAAAAACCATAATAGATCTGTAAATTTGATCCATTAATATGAATATTTAATGAATTTAGATTTTGTATTTTGTACGCTGAAAATATTCCTCTGTATAAAAATGTTCAAATCTCTTTCGTCCATCTGTTTCAATTGTGGCAAGCTGCGGTTGGTTACGAGAAATGTGTCTACCAATATCGTTTGGTCAAACTCGCTGACAAATATGTGAATGTGAATTAAATTTGTGACCTGCAGCGGAGGTTTTTACTGAATACCTACATTTTGGTTTCATACCCACACAAAGATATCATATTACTTTGGAAGATCTGGAAAATAGCGTTGTAGTTAAAAATAAAGTTCCCTTGTCGATAATGTAGTGATGCATTAAGCACATCTCACACAGAAGTCACTTTCAAACCAAGCAGATTTCTGTTGTTCAACACAACAAATTTGCGTGACCAACTTGAACATGACGAAATATGTGCTGGGAATTTTAGCAATTAAAATAATAAACTCACCCTTACTCGAAACTCCCGATCGCGCTGGTGTCAAGGTTTCTTATACAAAGATATCACATGACTTCGAAAGACATGGAATATAGTTTTTACATTTGTAAGGTGCGGTAGTGTAGCGATAGTGTCACACAGAAGTCACTTTCAAACTAAGCAACTTCCTGCTGGTCAATGCAGATAATTTACATAACCCACTTAAAAAAAAATTGAAATCTGCTTGGGGAACATTTTCACCCATACAGGAAACTCCATACCACACAGATTCCAATTGGAATGACTGGATTTGTCTGCAAAATTTTGTTGAGTAACTGTAAATCTGAATATACCTTTACAAATGATTGTGTTTTCTTGCTTTTTTTTTTTCTTATATCATTCTATAATCCCTCCCCCATGTAGACCCCTGTTGTGGACCCTAGGGCCATCCAGCTCGGCTCTCTCTTTGTTCGGGGTCTGACCTACCTCATCTCAGCCAACAGTGCTTGTGGTTTCCCTTTCCCGATGGGTGAGCTCATGCCGTGGAGGACCTTTGACGGCCTGCTCTTCCATTCAAAGTATCTGCAAGCCCACTCAGGCTGTCCAAAAGAGGAGCTCCTTGAAGGAAATGCAAGTACAGGAAAATGCCGTTGGCCTTGTTTATTCTTGGTATTAACATATTAACATCTGTCTTGGATCCACCGATCACAAATGAACAGTTGAGACAGATACTTGTCTCAATGGGACTTTTCGAGGCCACATGTAACTGGCCACACAGAGCCCTTGTTTTAGCAAAATGGTTGATTGACAGGTAAGTTGGGCGGTCTTTTACTGTTGTCTGGGATGCATCAGAACGGATTGGGAAATGCAAACGCAATGCCGCATGCGTTTCTGACTCTGATCTCTGAAAGTGGTTTGATTAAGTATAGCTAACTTGACCACTTGTGATTGGATCATCAGAGACTTAATATTACATGTAAACAGGACCAGGCATGATCCGTTTTTAAAAAATATGTTGTGTCATGATGGACTGTGCAGCTCTACCGAAGCCTGTTAACATGCTAAATGAAAATCAGATCATTGTATGGCCCACACATATTTTGTTTACTAGATTTTGTTTAACTTTTGTTTACATGTCTTTGGCATACTGGAAAACAGTCAGAGAATCTCTTTTGTTTTTGATTGCTGTAATGTTTTTTCCAGAGCCAAGGGACCAAAACATCTAAATAATTTTTTTGACCCACACATATAAACATGGGTTCGTAACTATAAATGCAGACTTAGACTGTGCTTAGTCATCTCCTGTCTTCATGGAGGTCTCTGAACCGTAAGTCACTATGACCTCTTTTATATTTATAATGGGCCCCAAAAAGTACTTGAACACCTAATAATATCTGAATACATCAAACCAAGTGACATCTGCATTCAAATGTCTTTAATCTCTTCTTTTTTTAAATAAATACCACTAGATATGACATTCATACATTTTTAAGAGTGTCCTTTTGGGACGACTGTATGGATTTGGTCAATTATAGATAGATACAGTGGGGAAAATAATTATTTGATCCCCTACTGATTTTGTAAGTTTGCCCACTTACAAAGAAATGAAGGGTCTATAATTTTTATGGTAGGTTTATTTTAACGGATAGAGAGAATATGAAGAAAAAAATCCAGAAAAAA